GTATTTCCGTTTTGTTGATGGTTTCTTTTGCTGTGCACAAGCTTTTTAGTCTGACGTAGTCCCATTTGTTTACATTTTCTTCTGTTTCCCTTGTCTGGGCAAATGTGGTACTCAAAAAGATACTGCTAGGACTGATGTTAGAAAGTGTACTGCCTGTATTTTCTACTAAGAGTTTATAAGGTCTTATATTCAAGTCTTTCATGAGATTTTAATTGGTAGCTCAGAGCAGTTGACCCTTGGTAGTACTCCAGCCATCCAGAGCCCAGGGGAAGCTGAGTGAGAAAGTAAAGGTTTGAGAATTAGGAGGCCAAACTTGGGTAATCAACAGTCAACTTATAGGTACAAAAACAAACTCCTTCATGAAAACATTGTAAATATAACCAAAAATCTGCCACACTCAAATTTCAAGCCTCAGTGTTAGATTTTGTAAAGTTGTTTCTCTCCCAGACTGGGAAAACTACAGATAAAGTGTCTCTTTTCCCTTTCCCAATGTCTTCTTTAATTCATCTTCCTGCTAATTGTAATTCTGCTTTTGATTGTGTTTAGATTCATTGTAGAGCTGCTACTTTCATTTATGTATTATTTTTTACATAAATAAAATTTCATATGGTGATGCTAGAATGTGTCCTCACAGTGCTCTAGGGCTCAGGAATCAGCAGTTTTTTTTTGAAGTTCCCCAATTTATTCTAATGTGCAGTCAGGCTGAGAACGACTGTCCTACATTGCAAGGAGGCTGCTCCTCTGTTTGGCCTCCAGGGGGCAGCCCTGCCTGTTAACATGACTGAAAACAAGGAGACCATGCTGACTCTCTGGGGACTGGGGAGAGGCCTGAATTTAGGATTGGAAAGGATAGGGCTGAGAATTAGAAGACTGAGTAATACTGAGGTCATTGAAGGCAGATTTTCTTTAAAATTCTCCTTAACTTTAGGAAATTCTGTGGCCAACTGTTTCCTTCTCCTACAACTGCAATTTTCCCAACTTCTATTTTTTACCCAAGCCCAGTCTTCTCAACTTGTTCATTATGAGAATCTCCATGTTCTGTTAGCATTTCTTTGCATAGAAGGCCTTTTATAACAATTTCGCCCTTTATAACAAACTCCTCTCAAAAGAGTGACTTGGCAAGAAGAAGTTGTCTCCTTTTTCTGAACAGGTCACCCTAACTTTGACATACACCCATTGGTACTCATGTCATCCTTGTCTCTTCTGGAATGACAATATAAGCAGCTAAGATCTCAAGGTCTTCTGAAATATTTCTCAGAAAACAACTTAGATAAAAATCACGGAAGTTTTGTGGTTTATACGTAAAGATATATCAGGGTAACAGTGAGCTCTGGGGTTGGGCGGGCCCAGGTACATGGTTAGTTCAAGGAGCTCAGACAATGTCATGATAAAAATTCAGCTGCCTGCCTATCTGGTTAAGAATCAATAGTGGACTCTGACACAATGATCTTTTATAAACAAACCCGTTGAATAGCCTTGAAAAATAAAGTGTTAGTGCTAAGAAATAAGAAAAAAAATGCCAATTTAAAAAATGGCAATGAACATCAACAGATAATTTCCAAATTAAGAAATAAAAATAACAGTAAAAATATGAAAAGAATGCGACCTCAGTGATAAACAAATGCACATGACAATTACAAGGAAACATTTTTTTTCTCTACAAATTGTTAAATAATTTTTAAGCATTAAATTCTCTGGTGTATCTGAGGATGTTATGAAACAAAATCTCTTAGAGTAATGCTATAGAAATATCAATTTGTATGATCATTCTAGAGAGTAATTTGTTAATATGTAGAAAATTATTTCACTCAACAATTCTACATCTAGAAATGTATGCTAAAGAAATAATCAGGAAAATTGACCGAAGCAAATCTCAACAAGTATTAAAGAATAACTATCATACAGATCGTGTTCTTTTTCTACAATGAACAAAGTCAGATACTATTAATAAAAACCCACCTTCAAATACAAAGAAATGAGCTCTTAAGCAATTCATTAACCATAGAGGAAATCATAATAGAATGGCTAAAACATTTACAAAAGAACAATAATGAAAAGCAGATATTTTAATGCCTGTGAAGATGAACCTAATGCAGTACACAGATGAAATTTTATAGCCTTAAAAATATATTAAACATAATCATTTGATATTTGTGTATATTGTGAAATGATCACCATAATAAGTCTAGTTAATATGTCACCATACAGCTACAAAATTTTTTTCTTGTTTTGAGAACTTTTAAGATTTACTCTCTCACCAACTTTTCCTGAAACTAATATAATGTTGTATGCCAATTATACCTCAATAAAAAAGTATTATTATTTTAGAAATCACATATTTTAAACATGTATATTAAAATCAAAATCTGAACGTAATGAGCTACACATTCAATCAAGAAGTTTTAGGGGCTGGCCCTGTGGCCTACTGGTTAATTAAGTTTGGCAAGCTCCACTTCGGCAGCCTGGGTTCAATTTCTGAGTGTGGACCTACACCACTTGTTGGCAGCCATGCTGTGGTGGTGACCCATGTGCAAAATAGAGGAATATGGGCACAGATGTTAGTTCAGGGAAAATCTTCCTCAACCAAAAAGAGGGAATCTTCCGCAGCAAAAAGAAAAGAAAAAGAAAAAATGTTTTAAAATGGACTAAGAGTAAACAACAAAAGTAGGAGGAAGAGAACAGTAAGAATAAGAGTTAAAATTAATGAAACAGAGTCATTGAAACAAATGAAAGCATCGATTTTAAACATTCCTTTGAAAAGAATTAGAAAAGTGACAAATCTCTGATGAGATCTGTCAAGGAAATAAAGAAAGAAGACACAAAAAATATTGTGTAAAAGAAGATAACAACTATAGGCACAGTAAAAATTTAAATATTTACAAGAAAATGCAAGCAATAAGTTCATACAAGTAAATTTGAAAGCTTTAACAAAATTTAAAACTTTCTAAAAATTATAATTTAGCAAAACCGACAAGAAAATTAGAAATTTTTAATTTTTGTGTAAAGACCAATAATTAATTATTAAATAATTAAAGAACCAAGACCAATAATTTCTATATTATACAAACTGTACCTAAGTCATGAGAATAATAAAAATAGGAGAGCTGCTTAACACATTATATGAGACCAAGACAACAATAACAAAAACAAGCTAAAATAGGTGACAAATAAAAATTATAGACCAATGTTACTTATAAAAAGCAACGACAGCTCCTAAAAATATCATCAAATTAGCACTGAATGTTAAAAATTAATACTAATACACCATGATCAATTAGGGTTTATCCTAGGAGTATGAGGAAAGTTTAATATCAGTGCAACACACCATGTGAATATATTAACTCTAAAATTTTCTCACTAAATGCAGAAAAGCAATTTGGTCAAGTTTAACATGTACTTGTAATTAAAACCTCTTTGCAAACTAGGAAGAAAAGGGAACTTCTTAATCTAACGAAGAGAATCTTTGAATTTGTTTTTAAAGCGAGACGTTAAAAGTATTCCCTTAAAAACGTGGAAAAAAAGATTTCCAATATTATCCTTTCTATTCTACATTGCACTAAAGATATTAACAAGTAAAGAAAAATAATAAAAACATTAGGACTAGAAAGGAAAAAACACAACTGTCCTTAATCATGGATGGCTGATTTCATTTCTGGGTTAGGAAACATATGAAATGGGCCTAGAATGTCTGGTCACACCGGAAAACTAAGAAGCCATCAAAGATGATAAGCCCATGACAAAAAGACTCAGGAGCCCACTTGAAAAGATTCCTGCTGGTTGAAGATGCGGCAATTCCCACATCGACAAAATAATGAATCTGATAGATTTAAACACATCAAGTATGTTTAAATCCCTGAGTTCATAGAAGAATTCTCCTCAGTTACTTTTGGAAATTTGTCCTGATTTGCCTGGGGGTTTGCCTGGGACCATCCAGGTTTCAGCATTGAAAGCTTCAGGTCCTGGGAAACCCTCCATCTCAAGCAAAAGGGATGGTGGTCACCCTACAGGGGAACCAGCTTATTATCCTGAAAACTGACAAATGGAAAGCATACACTTAACCTCAGAGAGTAATCAAACAATTGACAAGCAAATAATTATCTTTATAGAAATATTTCAACTAATAAATGAATTAGAAAAGCTATAATTAAAATATCATTTTGCAAAACAACTCCCAACCAAACAATAGATCTAGTCATTGCTTATCATCAGTCACTAACAACACACACATACACAAATACAAAGACCAACATTATGAGTCTCCCAAATAAAGTACACAACACCATGATGTCTGGGATTTGCTTCAAACTAATCAGGATTGGGGGAGGCATGTAGATATGTAGGGTGGTGGGGGTGTCGATTACTGAGATTGGCCATGAGCTGATAATTGTGGAAGCTGGATAATGGGTGCATGTTGTTTCATTACACTATTCTGTCTTCTTTTGTAGATGTTTGAATTTTCCATAACAAAGAAACTTTAAAAGAACCTAGTTAACGTAAAAATAAATTATCAGAAATGAAAAGACAAATATTTACAACGTCCACTGAACCTTATTTAAAAGAGTCAAAAGAGGAAGCAAAATAATCTCAAACAATGATGGTTAAACAAATTAAGGTACATTTACACAACAGAGCAGTTATGAAGCTATAAAAATTGCATTTTTACATACAATTGAATGATATGTTGGCATACTTATATACATAATGTTAAGCAAAAACACAATTTCCAATATAATCCTAATTCCTTTAAAGTATGCATATTTATATTAAAAATTTGGCAACACAACAAAACCCTAACAGTATTTATTTCTGCGTGTCAATGTTATAGTTGGAATTTTATTATCTCCTTTCTACATTTTGGTTAAGTCTACGCTGAGCAAGTTTTCTTTCATAATTAAAAAATATACTACACATTATATATTTATTCAAGAAAAGTAATAGACCTGGAAGAAAAGAGGCAGGAGTGCAAACGGAGACAGCAGGAGACATGACTAAGCTTGCATATGCAGAAACCCCACTTCCGGCTCTGCAGCAGCAAGGCCACAGGACCACCCAGCTCTAGTGACATTACAAAAGCCTGTCAGGTGGAAAGCAGAACAAGAGCCATTTCACCAGTGGGAAGAGCCCCAAATATGCAGCCTGGACCACTTGCTCTCTTGTGCACAGTCTTGGCCTTCATCTGCTTTGGTAGGGAGCCTGCCAACCCTGCAGCCAGGGCATGGGGAAGGAGGGTTGGGAAAGATTTGGAATAGAACTGGACTGTGCTTTGGTCCACTTTAATTTCTGAGTCAAAACCTGACTATTTGTGATGGCTTTCTTGTGAGCAATGTCACCAGCTAAGTCATTTTTTTCTTCTTTCTCCAGGTTTCAGCAATACCCAGAGTGTCGATCAACCTAAAAGAGAAGAATATAAACGAGAGGGAGAATCTGTGACCTTGGACTGCACAATCGTAGTCAGTTATACTTACTATATCATGTACTGGTATCGACAGGCTTCCAGTGGAGAGATGACTCACATCATCAACCTAGATTCTAACAAAAAGGACTCAAGACAAGGTCGCTATTCTGTGGTATTTCGGAAACCAAACCTAAAACTCACCATCTCAGCCTTGACGCTTAGAGACTCAGCCGTCTATTTCTGTGCTGTTGAACAAGCATCCCACAGTGAGGCTAGTGATGGGAAGAGCCTTACAAAAACCCCCGGGGCTCAGAAGGAGCCATCCAGCTGCTCTAGGAGCATAGAACAACCCACAGGACAGGAAGAGGGTAGACAGAAGGCATGGTGAGTGGTACTGGTGGGTCTGGAGAGGAAGCTAATGAATGTTCTAGGAATGATCTTCCCACATTTGGTATCAAAGAAAGAGTTGTGGTTACTAGACTCCAACCTCAAGAGCATTTTCATCTCTGAATCTGGTGCCTAAGGATGATAGCATAGCTGATCGAGGCGTTCATCTGTCTTTTCTGCCTGCCCAACTTCCATCCCCCCTTTCTTGGTGACGATGCCTTGATTTTCCCTGTATGACCAAGCTTCCCCTCCTCCTGCTCATGTTTGGGTTTGGATGAGGATGATCCCTCCCTTTGACCCCTGACCAGTTAGCATAGTTCATCTCTCTGACCTCAATGATTGGTTCAAGAATGGGTACATGACCTAAGCCCACATCCCAAAACTTAATATGGAACTGTTGGGAATGCTGTTGGGGATGCAAGAGGCTAAGATGTAAACCCAGACCTGCCCTTTTCCCACCACAAGGGAAGAGCACGATCCCAAAAATAGAGAGTGAAACTGAATTCCCTTAACACTGTATGAGTCCCTGGCTCCTGCTGTGATAAGAAGAGCTCTACCTGGGATTTTCAGTTGTACACCTTTGCTACCTTAGCTTAGGTCCCTCCAGGAGCAGACAGGGATTCAGGTGCAAGTGGTTTAGTTGGGAAGTGATCCCAGAATGCATGGCAGGGGCACAGGAGAAAGTGACAGGAAGGGAAGTCAGCCAAAAAGGGTGTGTGTTATCAAGCCAGCTGCCACTGTGGGCACCTGGAGCTTAATCCTGCCAGGTAATCTCTGGGAACCAGAGTGAACACTTGCCTCGTTATCCCACCTGAGGGCCAAAGGAGCCAAGGTATTGATACCCCAAATCCTGTGTGTCATTGGTCAAGGACAGCTCCTGGAAGTGTTAATTCCCCAGTACTTAGTGGGCTGTAGCAGTAAGAGAAGGCCCTTAGGCAAAGAAACTCAAGTGCTGGCAGGAGGAAGTCTGCAGGGTGCACTGAAGAGAAGTGAAGGACAAGGGAATATAGGTGGGACAACAAGAACACAACACAATTAATTTCTCTTTCTTCTTAAGCTACTTTGAGTTGGGTTTTCTGTCACTGGCAATCAAAAGAGATCTTACCAAAAATACTAAAAAAAATAACATTAGGTAAAATGAACTAACTAAACAAAATGCTTTAAAATTACTTTTTAAAAAAATTTTTTGCTTACTGCAGTTCAGAAAGGACACAACTTCTCAAACTGTTCAGATTAGAGAAGTTCAGCTCTTTCCTCTCACATCATCAGGTGTGGTAAGGAGGAGGGACAAATTTAGCACTTGTACCTGTTACTATGCTGGGCAGTTAGCTGTTCTCTCCCTTTTCAGACTCTTCCTGCTCAGGTTCACCCTGCTTAGTGCTGCCAGATTACTCGCCCTAATGTGTCCCTCCAAAGAATCCTGCCTGTTCAAACTCAGGATTCCCTGTGAGACTGTGCTTTTTCCAATTACAAAATTATGCTCCTGGTGTTTGCTTCTTCTGCAATGATTCTTCTCCATTTCTACCCTCCTCGGAAACTCCCGGTCTTTCAAAACCAGTTTCACACCTTTCTCTCCCTTGATGCTTTTGATGGTACCCCGGGAGCAATAAGCATGCCTAAATCCCATACCTTGGTTTCTCATTCCATTTTCCAACCAGAGCTCCTTGGAGAAATGGTTGATTCTAGTGCTGGGGTAGGGAATCTGCAAGATAAACCTGGAGCAACCTATAGAGCTCAAAAAAAAAAAAAAAATGATAGGACTGTGTCAAAGAGACATAGGAGCCAACTGAAAAAGCTCCCTGTGACCAAAGCTGGAACAATTTGAGCAATAAAATAAAGTAGTAGTATTGAGTAATAACCCAAAGCATAAAATAAATATCCGTGAGTCTCTGATATAAATAAATTATTGAGTAAGAAAATGAGAGAGAATAAACAAATCTCCCATGCTGAACAATTCTAAATAATATATGTAGACACTCTATACTCAAGGAAGTGGAGCGTAAACCCCTACTCCTTAAGTGTGGGCTGCACGTGTGAATTCCTTCCAAAAAGGACAGTATGAAAAGGGTGAAAAAAGAGTAGCTTGACAGTGAAGAAATCTGACAAACACTGCCTAAGCCAGATGACCACAGCCAACATCAAGAGAGATGTCATGTTGATTGCACGTCCCCTTGATATGATGTGATAAGAAATGGCACCCTACCTCTGTGGTCTTCTTCCCCCAAACGCATAACTTCGGCATAATCATGAGGATATCATCAGAGAAACCTCAACTGAGGGACATTCTACCAAATACCTGACTAGTGCTCCTCAAAGCAGTCAAGGTCATCAAAAACAAGAAATGTCTGAGAAATAGTCGGAGCCAAGAGGAGCCTAAAGGGACGTGATGACAAAGTGTAATGTGGTGGGATCCCTAGATGGGATTCTGAAGCAGAAAAAGGATGTTAGGGAACATCGAAGTTAATCTAATAAAATATGAACTTTAGTTCATAGCAATGTATCAGTATTGGTTTATCAATTGTAGCAATTGTGGCAAATGTGGCATTGTAAGGTGCTAATAAGAAGGGAAATTGGGTGTGGGGTATAAGGAAACTATGTGTACTATCTTCACAACTTTTCTGTAAATCCCAAACTATTCTAAAAGAAAAAGATTATTTACAAAACTTATAGGGCCAGCCCCTGTCCTTTCTTTTAATGTGGCTACTAAAAATTTTCAAATTATGTATGTAGCTCACATTGTATTTCTCTTGATAATGATGATCTAAAAAGATTGACAGGAAATCTTAACAGTAATTATTTCTGGTAGTGGAATTCAGGGTAATTTTTTTTGCTTTGTTTTTTTCTAATTTTTCTTCAACAAGTTTGTACTCCTTGTATAATAAAAAAGTAATAACAATAAAATGACAAGAACTACTTCTGCGAAATGTCACACTAAATGATGAAAGCACCAAGGAGAAATGTCAAGCCATAGAATCTTTTGATTAATTAATTATTCATTCATTCATTTGAATATATATATAAAGTATCCTATGTGCAAGGCCCTGGGACAGTTGCTACGAATACAAGCACAACAAAGATGAACTAAATTTTCTCCTTCAAGGAGTTCACAGTTTATTTGAGAAGTTAGGCCTATAAATAAAAATTAGAACACAGTGTGGTCAGTGATACTATCACAATTCCTACAGAGTCAACTCTCCTTTCTTTCCTGCTTTAAATGCCGCTGTTTTGCTTGCCCCAACCTTAGTCTACTTCTCTGCTCACAGCGTGATTGCAACTAATACTTATATGCTAATGACTATTCTGCCTCTAACCTTGATTTTGCCCCCAACCTGTATATATCCAACTGCCTTTTGGTCAGATGACCCTTGGACAATCTAAACTGTACAAGCCTAGAACCCACCATCACTTCACCTCCTCTACTCCAAGCTCTTCTACCTCTGTATTTCTTGTCCTAGTTAATGATACCGCCTTGCCTCATGGCTCTGCATAAAAGGCAAATTTAATTATTTTGCTTCACTTCTCAATATTCTTCAGACTTGGCATGACACAAACCCACATATGAAGTACCTTAAGCTACCAATGCAACCTCATCTCCTGGCACATCTCTCATCAGCATTGACCTTCTAGAAATACCAAATCACTAAACTCAGGAAACATCATGAGTTATCACCTCTCTTGCCTTCATCCTTCCCTTTGCTTGGATTTTCCAACCTCATCACCACCTCCTCCTCATGGTTCCCTGACATCTCCTCTCTGAAGCTTTCCTTGATCTTTCAGGCAAATTTAAGCTCTCTTTCCTCTGACTCTCTTTGAACTTTGCAAACACCCCCCACAATAACAATTATCTCTTTATGTTACAATGGCTGCTTCCTGGAGGATACTCTTCCTTGAGGATAAAGATTATGTTTTATTCACCGTAACATCCCCAGCATTACATGGAACATGACAAACAGAAGACTCTCTAGTTTACTGAATATTTCCTATCTTTATTCACCTTTCTTACTATGTTGTGGTCACACTTACCCCTTAGAATAGTCTAGATGTTCCTTGACTGCTCCAAGCAAGCGTCTACCCGTGTGTCTTTGTACTTGAATGTACTTGCCCCAGATGGCTCCCTTCATCACATCATTCAGGTCACTGCTCAAATGCCAACTCATCGAGAGGACTTTCCTTCATTCCCATATAAGTTAGTACTCACTTAACTCATCTCTCTTTCCCCTTATCCTGTCCCATTTTTTTCATGCTAATTATCATTAGCAGGGATTATATTATATATTTGTTGGTGTGGGGTATTTCTTGTCTGTCTATCCACCAGAATATAAGCATTTAGTAGCCCAGGGCTTTGTCTGAATTATTCAACAAATGAAATAAAGATCTGACATATGTATAAGTAAATAAATGATTTTATCACCTAGACCTGACACTATTTCTCTGACTTTCATTTCCCCTTCTTCTGCTTTTATCCTCATCAAGCCATAAATCTGAGACAAAAAAATATTAAGACACAAAACTCCAAGAATTGTCAAGGATAATAAGGCTGAGTAAGCAATAATATTATGTCTTAAAAAGGAGCAACAGTTCAGTTAATTATGTATTAAATCTGTTTCAAGAATCTGTTTTATCTTCTAATGCATTTATTCAAAAATATTTGTATCACATTTATTATGAGTTCTCTTTGAAAACTTAAAAGCTGTCTCATTGTATCACTGTTTATAGTTTACGAGTTTATAGTTTCTGACACTTACGTCAATGTATCCTCATAAACAATTCTTTGAAATAAGCAAGTCTTGTGAGGAATGATTTTGTTACCAGATTAAGGGTCACTGGGTTGTGAAAATTTTGAGCTAGGAAAGTATTCAATTGTTTTATTGTTGATAAAACTACATACCAGAGTCAATTATCAATCTATCTACTTCACCTCAGAGAGCTGTGATACACACATTGTCCATCAGTATTAGCACATTAATTCTCACTTTCAGGATTCCAAGCCAGCTCTTAGCT